CCCGTTTCATTATGTTGTCATTGAGATTTTTATACATATTGTCATTGAGCTGTGGGCTATGTGTTGTGGTAATATTGGTATTGTTGTTTTGTAAAGGGTTGTGGCTTATGGGACCTTGTACTATGAGTTGATATATCGTGTTGTTGTGATGTTAGCACATGTGATTTGTTGTGTAGATTGATTGTTGTTATGCGGAACATTAGGGTGGCATCTCACTATTGTTGATTGTACGGAGTGATACGGGTGACTGTTGATATAATATCTGGGCGGAGTAATACGAGTGGCTATTGTGTGTATTGTCTGGGCGAAGCGATATGGGTGGCTATTATGCGGAGTGATACAGGTGACTATTGTGATTTATGGTCTGGGCGGAGCGATGAGGGTGACTATTATGATGTTGTTAATATGGAGAGATAAGGGTGGCTATGTCAGGGATGATATGTGATGGCCTGGAGCACAATGTTGATGATATTCGTGTGATGGTGTGATTTTTCCTGTGTATGTTATGCACCTTGCGTGACTTGTTGTGTTATTTCCAATGAGCTACTCGATGTCTTTGATATTACTTGTTGACTTGGACTGTAATAGTACACTCGCACAAGCATACACTGTAGCATGCCGTTTACACCGGTTCAGGAGTATGAAACTTGACATTCATTAATCATGCCCATGTATCCTTGTATTATCTGCTTCCATTGTGATTGCGAGCATGTGATCATGTCGGGCAGATTGAGATATTGATACGTGAGTTGTCCGTGCGATTTTGATTAATAATGTGGGCACAGTGTGCCGTGAGCATATGACTTGTGATTTGGAACTCGTGACTTGTGTTTATGAGATGAGGTATCTCGGAGAGATATTATGGTGAAACTTGTGTTAGAACAGTTTGATTATTTAGTTGTCATTGGTTTTTCTTAATTGGTCTCACTGGTACTTTAACGGTGTTCGGATTACTTTATTATTTATATCACATGTTTATTCTTTGTTGCCATTTACTGATTCTTGCTTCCATTATTAGCTTTATACTTATATATATTGCATATGTTATTATGACTAGTAGGTATCTTGACTTGTATCTCATTACTACTCCACTGAGGTTAGTCTTGATACTTACTGGGTACCGAATCTGATGTACTCATATTATACTTCTGCATGTTTTTGTGCAGATCCAGGTATTGGAGATATTGGACTCAGGCAAAGTTAGCTTCTTGACGGCGAGGATTCAAGGTAGAGCTGCTTGGTCGTTGATGTCCATTGGAGTCCTTTTCCGTTTGATTGTACTGTTAACTCATTGTCCGAACAATATTGTATATATTTTGTTTTTTGAGATATTCCTATGTATTCAGCTAGAGTTCGTGATTCTGTATTACCTAGTCTTGGGAGGATTGTTGTGATTATCGTCGTGTAGGCTTGTATCACCTTTATTACGGTATTTCATATTAAACTCTGCTTTAAAATATCATATTTAACTGGTTTAACTGTTGTAAGTGATCGGCTTACCTAGTCTTACATACTAGGTACCATCACGACGCCTAAGGGGTGATTTTGGATCATGACAATAGGTGACCGCCTCCATCAATTTAGTGTTGGTGGGAGATGGGACGATATCTTAAGCAAATTATCATACGGATAATTTGAGAGCGCATGACCTAAATATCTTTAGCATCACACAAGTAATGACAAAGGGTTGTTATAGTATTTTATTGGTGATAATACTATCTACCTAATTTACCTTGAGAAGCCATGTGTGAGTTTGTGTTTATTGGGTAGATCAAGGAACTCAGTTTAGATGAATATGGTGTCTTATTTTATGAGATAAAGACATACATTTCATGGAAAAGGAGAAAATGTCGTAGCACATTTTCTCATACCATGTATGCAAATGTCGACCATAAGAGTTAACATAAGTTTTATCTCGACTAATTATTGTATGAGACCCTAAATTAAGTACCCTCACGACTCTTATCTGTGGTTGGAAGCTTGTTTTGATGTTCGCTATCTTAGCATGCTACCAAATAATCATCAGACGTTTGGATTGGCGGAGCATGCTTAGAAATGTTAATTGAATCAAGTTGATAGACTCGTGAGAAGAGAAAGATTATTGATGGAATCTCATTTCGTTTGTGTTTGCTGGTACCGGTTATGCCTTACGGGTCATAATTGTGAACACAAGAATTTATGATACATGAGATCTAGGGGTGATTCAATATGATTCAAAAGATCCAGGGCATCGGGCATACTTTTTGTGATCTACTTGAAGACTTTCATGATGACAACGAGAGGCTATACATTCCTAACAAATGTATAGCAATGTGCTCTCATAGTATGCTAGTCGTACGGCCTATTTATCTAATATGAAATGATGCAAGAGAATTCAAAAGGAGAATACGTTTTTCCTTATCTTTTTGGAGCTTGAGCACTCCCTTATGTGTGAGTAGGAGATTGTGAAAAATATTATTGAGTTGGGTCCACCCAAAATAAGGTGCTAGATGACCCCACAAGCCCATTAATAAGTCCTCATCCTAAATCCTACTAATAACCTATAAATACACCATTTTGAGTGTATAGAAAAGAGGTTTTTCTAATGTTTCTCCCGGGAAACAAATAGCGGTTAGGGTTAGATTCTCTGCATCTTAGAGATACATAATTAAGTTGTGGTAATAGGAAGTCCATCCGTCACATGAGTATTTTCAACAACCAATAATCGTCAGCTTGTTGCAGATGATCTGCTTCTGCTAAGGAAAAAATTTGTAAGTCTCATAACTAGTTTATACTGCAGATTTATTCATAATCTTCATAATCCTATAGATAAATAAAACTTTAATCATTCATTTGTTAAAGAATCTTGAGCGTCAGTATTGCTAATTATTGAATTCGACGCATTATTAGCATAAGAACCGTTAGACAAACCCCAAGCGTTGAACGTTAGCCTTGTTAGGCGCACACTCGGGTGCTTGGGGGCATAAGCCTCACAGAACTAAGTCTCACACATATGAGTCTCAAGGCATTTTGATAGTGCCCGGCCCGAAACGAGCCCCGAAGCGAGTTCCAAAAAAGCCTTTTATAATATTGATTAGCCATTTGGCATAAGAACTTGAAAAAAATAGTAACTTTTCACCTGAAGTACTTTTTGAATCTTGACCAAGCACAAATTGATGTTTTAATATTGAGAATAGTGATTTTTAAATTAATTAGTCAAACACAAATAACTATTCTCTAAAAGTATTTTTTTCGAAAATATTTTTCAAAATAAACAGATTTTAGAAGCTTGACCAAACAAGCTATAAATTTCGTTATGTTGCCCCTTGACTTTACTCACGTTATGTTCAGGGGATGTAAGTGTCTAATAAGTGACGTTCAACAAGAAAATTTTTCGGGAAAGTTTTACAAATACCCATGCGGCAGAAAAAAATTACCCGCCCTACCCACAAATATTTTAAATACACATAAGCCAAATAAGTCAATTTAAGCCAAGTCAAGCCATGCAAAATCAAGTCAAGCTAAGCTAAGCCAAGCCAAGCCAAGCCAAGCCAGGCGGGTAGGTCGGATAATTAATTTTAATTGGGTAGGTATATATTGTAACTAGTTTTCAAATATGTAGAAAATGATAATTATTTTAAGCTCAATGCTTATTTTGCATAATTTGCTCAAATTTTTATTCTAGGATAACTAGTACCATGTCCAAATACAATTGCATAATTAATTTCTATTCATAGTGCTGATACAATAGCCTAAACGACCAAAGATCTTATCAAATGTCGAATACATAAAGTATAATTCCATGTATATAAAATTAAAGCATATGTGGCTTGATAATTCGGAGAGCATTCAACACTAGCGCCTCTCGAGAAACCAGAAAGTACCCATGTAGCACATAAACATTCATGTTTGAAAAACAACTGAAGGATCTTCAAGTAGTACGAGCTAAGGTTCGAAAAAAATATAATAGGAGAGCTATAACTTGCATCAAAGGATTACACCATGTTTGACCAAGAAAGCCAAAAGTACCTTCTTCCAAAATTAAGGTGTTTGGTCGAGCTCTTAGAAGGAAAAAGTACTTTGCATAGAAATAGAAACCGTTTTTTAGAAGCAGAAAAAAGTAGTTTCTCCTCAAAAGTACTTTTTTTAAAAGCATTTTTAAGAAAAATACACTTAAAAACACTTTTTAAAAGTTTACCAAACTCTAATTGCTGCTCAAAAGTGCTTTTTAAATTAAATAGTCGAACACAAAATGTTTCTCATCAAAATACATTTTTGAAAAGCACTTTTGACAAATTACTTCTCAAAATAAGTTGATCTTCGAAATTTGGCCAAACAGACTATTAGTTGGTTTTAGAAAGTCCGAAGATAAAATACAGGAAACCAATTTCTATTGTTTTTCCACTTCTGGCTCTCGAAGAGAGCAGTGCATAAACCAAGAAAGGATGCAGCTCGGCGGACCACTAATTAGCCCCACAAATGTCATGATCACATTGATTTACCCTACTTCTCTGGTCGTTTAACTTCCAAATTTATTCCACTACGTATAGTACAGTTTCAAAAGTATTACTATATCGCAGTGAAAAGAATCTGTCAGCAGGTTAAAGGCAGTTCAAAGGATCAGAAGTGCTAAAGGCAAGCGATTACAAACTGTTTGATGCTCCCTCATAGCAACAATCAGTGAATTATGGTCAAAATTAGATGCACCATGTACGTACAACTATGTCTGTCGAGCAAATAAGCAATACCGTTCCCTCAAAAACTTTCATCTGGCTTCAATTTTCCAGATCCGAGGATGAGTTCAAAAGACTGCTATAAAATCCATATCTTCCCCTTTTTGGGAGGTTGGCATGGCAAGCTCTCAACAAGCAACATTAATCCAGAGCGCCATATTAGGGAAACAGTTCTATAATTCCATAGCGTTAACCTGCACACATTGCTCATCAGAGAAAATAATATGCTATGTTAATATGAGCATACTAGTGACCTACAGGATATAACCCAAACGAATAAAGAGAAGATGAAAAGAAGGAAGAATGCAGAATTTTTCAATTGAACAGTCGTAAGAAAAGGAACTAAAGATGCCAACCGATACAAGGAACTTGATTTCATCCCTTCCGAGAAAGTGCTACACCTATAAACTTACAAGAAACAGAAAACACTTTGAAAAAGGAAAAAAGAACGAGAAAAGTATATATGTAAGACAGAGTAAGAGGCTGCAGAATTGGGGTTGTGCAGGTCAGGGGGATCATCTGCAGATTTAAGTATCTTCAATTTTTGTCAACACGAACTCTCAAGTCTTCCTAAAGTTTTAACTCAACCCATAGGTCTTGCCTTTTTATTGCTGCAAGAGGGACATCTGTATTCCTTGATACTTTGAGCCTTTGCAGGCGTTATTTTCACGCACTTGCCATGATACCACCTTTCACAAATATCACAGCCAATCCAGAACTCATCTGCGTTGCCATTTGTTCCACAACTTCCACATAGAGTTTCTTCATGCTCGTCTTCATTCCCTTCATCCTCATCATCACTCTCCTCATGTAGCCTTTGATTTGCTTTAACTTGTTTTTCTCTCTGCAAGTAAGCAAGTAAGAACGTAATCTAAGTTATACATGGAAAAGGGTGATCCACAAATATAAATGATTGAATAGAGTACCTTTGTGTTATTCTTTGATTTCTTTCCACTATCAACACTAGGTTTGTCCTTCAAAGGCTTCCTCCCTGTCACGACTTCAAAGACAGTTGGCAGATCATTTATCAGGGTAAACAGACGACTCCTGTTTAGCAAAAAAACACCACCAAAAGAAATGACAGAAGATAGATTAGGGACTAGAAGTTTAGTTCATGAAAACAAAAGTAGATAGTTCGCAGTGTAAATCGTCAAGCCTGCTGAGAATGAAAACTACTCTCGGTCCAGGGAGGCTCGGTGAGATAAACCGTAACCAAGATAGCTTTACCATCATGAAGGAAAAGTTTTATCAGAATATACAAAAGAACTGGCTGCAAGGCGATTACTTGTGTACCAGCCACATTTTGGTATCAATGTGAACTGAAGTACAGGACGATCCAAGTGATATTTTTGTAAATTAGGCCGTAAAAGGAAAACTACTTAAGATGATACGCGAATGTGTAATTTGGTTTATTATATCTTGCCACAAGGTGGACAGTAAAAGAGATCCAAGCATGCAAATAGTAAAACATTGAAAGTAAAAAAGGAAATGAAAAGGAAATAAACCAAATAGAACAATTCTGAGACCTGAAGTTCAACCAGATACATGTAGCTGGACCATTGTGTGACCCATTTAAAGAACTGAACAAAGAACTGGACATACATCACTACACTATTTTGGACTGCGAGGAAAAGCTGATTGACTATAGAACATACTGGTGGCCCATTTGAGTGCGTAACCTTTTGAAAGGTAAAAGATGCTTATTGTGGGGCACATCCAAGAGAGGTGTAGCTCATATAAAATAAGTATACCAGACCCAAAAGCAAAAAGAAATAGTTAATGAGACCTATGCTTAGCATCATACCACACTGCAGTAGACCATATAGTATTACAAGATCAGCCAAAGTACTCATTCAAAAAGCATTTGAATATTTCATAGCTAACGAGATGACAAAATTACTATTTCAGAGTTGATATGAGTGGCCATTACTGCAGCTGATCGAGGTAGATATCACTCTTTCTTAGAATTACAAAGGTGGATTAAGATGGTCCGTGAAATTTAAGGAGAGCAAGAATCATATGACACAGTCCAGAAGCCCTTACAAGGATCAAATTCAAAAATGCGTTCATTTCATATCATCAAAAGAAAGGTTGAACAGTAGGAGGAGGATTACAATACAAATGTACTGGAGGCAGGAAGAGGAATTTACTCTGTCGGATCACAAACCCTGTAACTAGAGGGAACCGAGGATAACCTAAGATAAAGAATCTAGTTTGTGCCAATTTAAGAAAATAAATAAAAAATAAAAATAAAAATAAAAACTAAACAAGATAAAGTTATTAGTAAATATATTTATAGTGAAAGATTATATCACAAAGCCGTTAGCATGTTTGTTCATTAAAAGAGTTTACACCCTAAATAATGAAACTATCTCCAGTGGGTTACTATAAAATTAACCACATAAAAGTGAGAAGATAAACAAAAATGAAACAGACATAAGGAAACCTAGTGCAATAAAATAAAAGTTCCGGCTATCATAATGTAAGTAACACCTGATATTGGAAACACCAATAGAAGGAAACATTGAAATTCAAGTGGACTTGGAATTATGAAGGCCCGATCAGAGAAACAGTTTTCAAATATAAAGGCAAAATGTCAAAGTTTTGCTTAGTTACGGGAAAAAGGAAAACACTAGGGGTACATGTCTGCTCTGCACATAACACCAAAATACTGCCAGACATTTCTTCCCAGTGCTAGTGTGCTACAAAACAATACATTTATGCATGTGAGGCCTTATTTTTCTTTTCCTTATAACCGAACAATGTTATTAAAAGTGAAAAGCACAAAACAAAACGACAAGTTCCTTGGGGCCTTGATGCGAAAAATAAGAAGTAAAGCGCAAAACGAGAAGTAAAGCGCACAATTTACAGAAATTAAAATATACCAAACATATATGAATTTAATACTACATATCCTTATTGAAAAAAATATAAACATAATACTATAATAATCGACTTATAATTAAAATAACTAATTTCAACATGCTATATACAATAGTGCCAATATTAATCCAACTGAAAGTTGAGAATCAAAGAACTGGCTACTTTGTGTTTGAATTACTTTGTGAGTTATTGGTTGAAGTCACACTTCATCGCTTTAAGCGACAGACTGATGACTTTTAATAACACTGCCCGTCAAAGTAACTTTTCGTCTAGCCAGTGTTGTCAAAGGAGCGCTTACAGCGCGCTTTAGCCTTAAAGCGAAAGTCAAAACACGTTGAGCGCTTCGCCTCGCTTTGCGGAAGCTTCAGCGTCCCATCAAGGCTCTAAGGCATACTTTTCCTTGCCAATGAGTAATCCTGAAAAGGGGACACTGAACGATTGATATTTCACTTTATCGTAATATTTTTCAATTTTTTGTCCATATATTTATTATTCATGCTTATAATTATTGGCTTTGGACTACATATACATATTTTTACTTTTTCTCCAATTGCGCATTTTTTCATTAAAGCCACGCTTTATTTGCGCTTTGCGCTTAAAGCCCCAACCGGCCTTAGAGCTTTTCTGCGCTTCCTTTGATAACACTGCGTCTGGCTACTTTGTGTTTGGATTACTTTGTGAGTTATTGGTTGAAGTCAGACTTCATCGCTTTAAGCGATAGACCGATGACTTTTAATAACATTGCCCGTCGAAGTAACTTTTCGTGAAAAGGTAATAACACACTTCACAATCTCAGGACACCCTTTTAATTTCCATATATCATGCACAGCTCTCCTAATACTGTTCTGCACTAAACAAAAGTTGTAGATAATAAATACCTTCTCTCCTCTTTATCAAAGACTTCAAATTTAAAAACTGACAATGCAAGAGGTGTGGATGTGCTCGCGCGCGCGTGTGTGTGTGTTGGGGTNTATTAATGAGAATTTCAAATAAGTTTACCAATCTTAAAGCCTGTAAATTTCAAGAAAAATGAAATATCATATTGTTTTGATCTAGTACAACCATCAACATGGTTATTATTGCTTAGGTTTTTCCTTAATCAAGAGAGTACGCTTTTTACTAAGGTTAAGGGTTTCTAAAATTCTTTATCATCATTAATGAAATACTGGAATAGAGCTCCATAAGATCCAAATAAAATAAAATAAAAATTAAAAAAAGAAGAAAAGAAAGACCAGATTAGAAGGTTCATTAAAGGTTTTCAAAATCATTTACATTTAATAGAGAGAAAAGCAGCTTCTGCAGATTTTTCAGTTCTTTTTCCCTGGTTGTGTCTGAACCAATGTGTGTGCATCAAGCGATCCACTGGATAGGCTATTCAACAACAAGCACAGGTTTCAAGGTAATTTTGTCCACCAAGATTTGTTGCTGCGAGTCAAACATGGGATCACCAAGTTGTTACTCACGCACTTAACCACTATGCTATCCGCTTTCTTACCATTACTAGTTGCACTTACTGGTGCATCATATTCCCCTAAAACTCGTTGGTTGCTTCTTTTTCTGCTTGATTTGATGTTGAATCATAATCTATTAGTCAGTATGCCTTCTAACTCACAGAGAAGATGAAAGAAAGCAACTTCTTCTTCTTTTAACAAGAATGAAAGAAAATAATCATGCATCAAAAGCTATCTAATAACATTTCCATCTGATTTCTTTTTCATAAAAAATACTTTATTCACAACAACAGCAGCAGTTGTAAAATTATATTGTGATTGACTTTGTCTCCTTCCTACTGTAAGGAGTCTATAATATCCAAAAGAAGTATCAAAATGATTTGATTTTTCAAGTTACACCAGAAAGCCAAAATTTGTAAGCATCAATATCTTAAACAAAGAGTTGCAATTGCTTTTCCTTCAAAACATCTTGACTTCCTTTCCTTCCAAATTATCCACATTATGCATAAACTAATGGTGTCCCATAATGATTGAGTTGTTTCCTTATACTTTGACTTCTTTTTAGCAGTTGTTTCTTTATCCTTTGACTTCTCTAGCTGCTTATGCCTAGTTCATATTGCCAGATATTACCCAGTTTATTACTAAAAAGATTAGCGAATAAACTCCTCCATAACTACAATGATATTTGACAATGTAGAAACAAATGTTACATGTCTTCTACAGCTCTTTCACACAGGTAGCTCAGCTGCTAAGATTGATTCCCCTTTTCTGAAGATTGACATGTGTTAAACAAGCTGTATGCAATGCTGTCCAGGTGAAGCATACAACTTCTGCAGGTGTTTTACTCTTCCACGGTCGATGGCCAATGATCTTCCATATCAGCTCTGTTCGGTGCTCGGTAGCAGGATTTAACCGTAAAGGTTCTGTCTTTACTTGCCTTATAGCACAATCTGCCACACCGTGATGAAGGTGCAATCATCCCTTCCAACTAACCAATCAGTTGAGCTATTCTATCAATTACTTGGTCCTGCAAATCCCATGCAAAATTCAATTCCACCTACTAGTCTTCTGAATTCATAAACAATAGCTTTTTGGTAAATCCATACTGTATAAATCAGGCAAAGAGTATTCTAATGGGGTTTCATCGACCCATGTATCCTTCCATAGTCTGACTTTTCTCCATCGCCTAATATCAGCTTTCGTCAAAGTTACACATATGCTTATATGTTTCATACAGATACACCATTTGGTAATTTGATTGGATTAGTGTGCCAAAGGACTTGACATCCCTTATTTAGTTATACATGTTCACCAGTAAATCTCCAAAGCCATTTCATTAGCAATATACCTATTCTGCAGTCTTGAGATTTTTCCCGGTTCACCATCTCATTTTGAGGCAGTCACCAAAGGCCGGGCCATTAAACTAAATTAAACTTTCTGCATTCGGAGTTCCTTTCCCATAGGAAATTGCTACTTATTCTGTTCAATTGTTTTTCAACACTTACTGGCAGAGTAAACACGGATATTCAATATGTAGGGATGCTGTCAACAACACTATTTATCAGTGTTACTCTTCCACCTAAACACTTCTCCAATTCCACCCAAACACTCTTCCATCCAATGATAAATACTATTCCTTCCATGTGGTCAACCTCCCGTCAAAACCTTTTTCGACAGGGTGGTCAACCTCCAGCCAAAACTTTTTTTTTTTGGTTTTTCATGTTTTCGATTTTTGAGAAGGGGAGCCTTAGCGTAACCGGTAAAGTTGCTAGCACATGACCAGGAGGTCTCGGGTTCGAGGAGTGGAAACAGGCTCTTGCAGAAATGCAGGGTAATGCTGCGTACAATACACCCCTGTGGTCCGCCTCTTCTCCGGACCCCGCGCATAGCGGTAACTTAGTGCACCGGGCTGCCCTTTATGTTTTTGGTTTTTTCAACCTCCTGTCAAACTTCTCCTTGCAATATCAATTTCTTCATATATTTTCCAACTAGAGGAAGCCCGAGATACATTGCAGTAAGGTGTTCAACTTCGCATCCTAGTCTAAGTACCTCTGCCATATTTCAACATTCCAACGTCATTCACAGGGAACATGCGACTTTTCTTCAAGTTATGTAAAAACCTAAAACAGCCTTAAAATTCAAGAGTACTACTTTGAGATATTTTTTATGTATTTCCTGCCCCATATAACGATACGGTATCATGTGAGACGATAACAATCAACCCTATTCTTTCTCCTATTATTAACATCCTGCTAAATCAATCTGTTAGTATAATGAATGAAGAATGGAGATATGGGGTCATCCTGTCTCAGCCCCCTCGTAGAATGGAAAAACCTTCCCAACTTATAATCATGGAAAACCTCACGATAGACATAGAATATGATCCATTTTAGCCATCTCTCCCTAACCCCATATTTACCATTAATTTTAACAAAAATGCCTAATTAATATGATCATACCCTTTCTCGAGATCCAATTTCCATAAGACACCAGCTTCTTCTGCGTCAATCTTATATCTAACCACTCGTTGAAAATTAAGGATACAACATAATATGTCTGCCAAAGATGAATGCATTTTGTACCTACCAAGAAAAAAATGAAGATGAATGCATTTTGTGAGCCCGAGATTAGCCATGCAGTAACATCTTTCAACTTCTTATTCAATATCTTCGCATTTAATTTGTATATATTGCCAAAACTATTAATGGGTCTACAATTGTTTAATTCCGCTGCCTCTCTTTTCTTTGATATCGACGCTATAAAAATAGCATTAAAGATTACTCAAACAAACATTCTTGGTAAAAGTATAAGAAGGTTTTCATCGTATCTGCCTTTACAATTGGCCAACATTTTTAAAAAGAGCTATTCATAATCCATCTGACTTTATTACCTAAACTACCCTTAGTAACCATCTCACCCCTTCTTTAGTTAATTGACCTTGCAACCTTCTATATTTCTACTCATGATCATAAGTCAGCACATTTCCAATTAGGCCTTTAGCTTTAAGATTCAGTAAATAGCTCTTCGTGTTGAACTATCCAAATGTGCCTCATCCTCAATCAACAGCGACATCTTCCTTTAGCATGTCTATGTTAATTGTCTCTTACGTTTGTGTTTGTCATTTTTTTTAAAAATAATTATTGTGTTAGTATCACCCACTATAAACTATAAGCAGTTTGCCTTTTGCCTCCATGAGATTTAGTCCGTCTTAATAATCTCATTTTCTTCTGCCAACATTGCATCCTTCTGTGCTATCGTTTTCTGTTAATTTCCTATGTCCTTCCACTTTCGTCAAGACTGTCAATATTACTCTGAAAAGTATTTTTTTTCCTTGTGAATAAAGCCGAAAACATTAGCATTCCACTCTTTTAAGTACCTTTTCAATAGTTTCAATTTCCTTTGCTAAAACATCTAGTGTGCCCTTCACACAATTACCTATTTGCGACTGGTCTTGTAAGTTTTTTATCATTCCCTTTGAGCCACTGATTCTCAAATGTGAAATTAGATTTATTATTCTATTCACCATACTCTAGCATTATTGGAGCACGGTTTGAGAATAAATTAGGGACCTCAATTTATATTTCTGAAAGCTCCATCTTGTCCATCAAAAAAAAGCTAGTCTATCCTCGAGACAGCACCTCCATTCTATCCCTTGAACCAAGTGTATCTTTCATTTTGCATAGGTAAATTTATCAGCTTCAGGTCTTGTATGAAGCTGTAAAATAGAGCATTAAGCCGGACAATCTCCATCGTCCCTTTCTACCGTCAGTGGATCTGGTGACATTAAAGTCACCTCCTATTACCCAAGGCCATTTTCTATCTGATTTGACAGTTTAGTTTCACTTTTTTCTAGATTTTGTGGATCCTTTATAGTAAAGTCTTACCATCTTCAATATGATTAGTTCTGGTAGTTTTATCTTCTAATCAAAATTGATATAAGAGAAGAAAAAGCATATGCTTCAGGACTACTATGTTCATCTACTTCAGGACCAGTATGTTCGTTACTACCATCTTCTTCATAAGAAACTCACCACACGCTCTGGAAAAAAACTCAACTCTTCACTGCCATAGGCGGAGGAAAGCCAAGCTCATCGTTGAAATTTTGTTGTCAAATTGATAGGGGAATTTTCCATCAGAGAAGGACGCCCAGACTCATCGTAAGAAACCTCCAGGCTCCAAAAGATAGCCTAACTTGGACTGACTCACCGGAATCAGTCGTCAAGTTTAATACCTCCATTATTGGTTTGGGGTTTTTTATAGAAGAATTTTAGGAAAAGAAAGATTTTGATGTGGTTAAGGCCTTAAGGGGAAAAAAAGATGAAAAAGACCGGGAAGAGGAGGAGGAAGAAGGGGAGAATGAGAAGAAAAGGAGGGGGAAGAATTGTCAGATTTTGGGAAGCTTGGAAGAAGAAAAAAAGGAGGGAGTCGAGGGTTTTCTACTTTTTCTTTTTTAAAGAAAAATTAAGCATGTTTTACTTTTCCTTTTCTTCAAATTACATGTGTTATTCGACAATACGTGTGTTTGACTAGTCAATGACAATTATATTTAGGACTCCTATGTCTACGAGACACACTTCTGCTGAGAAGAGATGTCTATTGTGTCATTGGCAAAGTTAAAGTGTGTATTTAGCAGTTGGTGTCAAAATGTACTTGGCCTTCAAAGAATTATCTCCACACCTTGGCTAGCTCCTATTTGGGCTTTATAGCCTGCCCATACCTTTAACATATTTTCCAAGCTTGCCATTTACAGGGACCTCTTCAAAGACCAAATCACAAAAGTTCCCTTCCAATGCGTCCCTTACAAAGTTTGAATTTGACATGTTGCAACATGTCTCAAAGGACCCGTTACAGCTCTCACGTGAAAAGTTTGTTTTACCGGATAACACCATTACAAACAACCTGACCTGACTTAGCGTTATCCCCTTGATTTTGCATCGCAATTGCACACCCTTTCTCCGCTCCTACTTCCGAAGCCATGTCACTAATAAAAATGCATTTTGGGGTCTGACCTTGGGAATTACGAACCTTGATAAAAACCTATTTCATGTAATTCCTTAACCTTTCTCCAAGATCAAGCTCCATAAATTCTCCACATTGTTCCCCTATTGCTTCGAAGATATTATCTGCTGAACAAAAAAGTTATTTAGTCGAATCCAGTAGCCTTACTTCACCACAATATTATCCTTGTGCATTGAAAGAAGGTAATAAGCTTTGTAGTAGCACTTCTTGTCCTTCATAGAACCAAGCTCCCACCTTCGCTCTATCAGCTTCTGTTGTCGCGGGAAATCCAGTTAGGGGTTTATCTCCAACAAATTCAGATACATTATAGTCCATTGATAACTTACTGTTCTCTTAGTGATAGTTTGAATTCATTGCTATTCAGTTTGTGACACTTTGACTCTACAACCCCAGCCACTAGGCATCTCATCATAAATTCTTTGCATGCTTTTACTGCCACCCACCTAACCTAATATGGTCATCTTCAATTTGTGAGTTGACAGGGATATCAGTCGCTGGCCAGTGGTAGATTTTTGCCACTTCTAAGTAGGTGTTCTTGATTACCTCATTTGGCCTTTTAACGAGGTTCTCACCTTTTTCCACAAAACTCTAGATGTTCACTGCAAGACCTATCCAACTGAGTCCTGCATAAATTCTGGAACAATGATATGATTTTTCCTCTTCCCATGCATCGAAATAATCCGTATATATCAACCTTACATAATAAAATTTTGCTATGCATGATACTCGTGCGGTTGCTCCTTCTTCCGCCACTTCCTACAAATATCTCCAGCTCTTTCTGAGGCTGGTCTCATCACCTATAACATAGCCACAGAAGTAGGCTCTGGCTGACGTATATACGGAACATGAAGTTTCTCTTCCTCTCGACCCATTTGTATGTACCAACACTGGATCCAATCCGTCTCCTCCAAGTCGAAGGATTTCCTTCCGACAATGAACAAGTAGCTTCTGCCCATTGGAAAGAGTTGAAGCCTTCAATTTATGTTTCTCGTCATCATAAGCTACGGTTAAGTTACTCCGCAAATCAAAAGCCTAACACCCACCAGTTGATGTTGCTACCTTGCCCAGAGTACAAAAGCAAAGATGTGATTAGAGATAAAAGGTTTGTTATTGCTGGAAAAGTTGATTGGAGAACAGTTTTGGGGTGAGCCATGGTCTTCCGGCTCGTTTTCCAACAAATAGAAAAGTCCATCTCTTGAGCTTTGTCGATGAAACTCTTCCTTCTCTCAATGTGTTCAACCCAATGAGAAGTACTCAAGAAATTTTCCTTTAATTCAAATAATTCTTCTCTGCGAATGTTTCCTTTCCGTCTTGAATTGCAAAAGTCCGTAAATTTGATCTGCATTCTCATTTTCCTAGACTAGGCTAAAGTTACTCTGTAAAATCGCTAACCTTGCCCAAACACAAGACAGAAATGTTAACAATCAGACAGTAGAGTTAATTTTCACAGAGGGGGAACGATAAAAGTTTCTCCCAAAAAACATCTTATATGATGTGCACGTCCGACAATACAAAAGCACCTAATTTGTGACAACTTGATAATAACATCCGCCTTTCAATAAAATCCAAGTCAAATTTTCTGCTTCTACATTGAACAGAAAATAACTGAATTGGGGAAAATGAAGTGATTTGTTAAAAGTTTCAATGTACTAACAGAATACAAAGAGGGTACCTTTCATTGCGATTAAGGCGAGCACCGAAATAGAAAGCGACAGAGAGCAGCCACGAATCGGTGTGCATAGCAACCAATGACAACCAGTCTCTCCGCTCCATTCCATCCCTTGCAAAATTGATACCTAACACCGGCTCCGGTAACTCTGGCGGAACTTCCTCCGCTGGCACTGCAACTTCCCAAGTCTCATTTGAATGTCCATACAAACACAAATTGTCTCTCTCTGGATCGCACTGTGAGAAAAATTCCTCCACATCTGAGAATTGCATGCAAAACAAGAGAATCAGTGTTTTTGATAAGTAAAAAAAGAGAGAATCAATTTAACAAAGCATAAGAAAAAGGGACAAATTGAAGTACCGGCAGTGAGGGCACGGAGGACGGCGGCGTGACGGGCGGAGAAGTCTTTGAAGATCTCTTCGACGGTGCGAGGGCTATGGGAGGAAGAGTTGGAAGCCATGGGCTTATTTAGTCAATTACAAGTCGCAGCTACTTCTGAGATTTCAGTATTTATATGGTTATGGTTGTAATTATGTGGAGAAAGAGGACGAGAAATGCGTAGGAACGGAGTTGACATAGGCCAACGGAGATTCAGGGCTATAGAAAATCTGCAGACTCGGTGGAGAAATTGGGATGCACCCGGGGCTTTGTATAATCCGAATCTTGGATTTTGGAATCAAGTTAAAATTCAGGAATATTTTACATTTTGAGGTTTTGACTTTGGCAAAATAACTAGATAACCCCTTAAACTTACAAGTATTTGTCAATTAGACACTTTAACTTAATAATGATGAAATAGACACCTCAACTCAATAGAAATGCCTCTTTTAAATGCACGGATCAGCAAAATCAAGTGCTAGAAAATTACATGTTGATAATGCGTCAAAGAACGAATAAAATAAAGAGACACATTTCATTGGAAGAAAAAGATATTTTCCCACTCTCTATTCTGTCGATTTACTATTTATTTGGATGTTTATTTTGGTACGTTAATTTGATCGATTGAATTTTTGTCTTCTTTACAAGTTGAGAAGACAACTCTAAGCAATTTTTAAAGATTATTTTATAGCTCCATAGTTATTTTTTGGGATAATGGTGAACTCAATAATTTATTTATGTTTAGTTTGAAATTTTCAACTTTTGTACATTAATTTTTGAAAGTATCCTTTTTATTCTTCAATTTGTTTTTAAAAATGACTTGACCTTGTTTGAACTGGTGTTTTACTTTTATTTTATAAGTGTTATTTGAGGATGATTCTTTGGTCCTTACATAAATGTTGTAATGTTTGATATCATCTAAACGAGAGAATGAAAGTTACGACCAACAAAATAAGAAACTCTTTAATTTTTAAATAAGAATTTATAATATTGAATATGCGAAGGTAGTTGACTAGTCTTTTCTTATGCTCGGTACTTGAGAGATAATGTTTATAAGAAAGAAAAATCAAAAAATATTCTGATTGTCACCACTATATATTTTTTACTGTTCCTAAAGCTATCTAGAGATTTTTGTTGTTGACATGTTGTAATACTTGATGAACCATGAATGAGTATTGGGTCTTAAGTAAAATAAATTAAATCATGCATCTTTATTAATTGTAATCATTTTAAGTTGGATATGATATTGTACTTGTAAAGGTATATGTAGAAATAAGGTACACTGACCGATTTGGTAGGCTTACTTAGTAGCAAAAGCTAAAACATAAATACTTCTTAAACATAAAAGATCTCTTAGAAGAGACACACATACAACACGTAAGTAAAACACCACAATACATTACTATAAAAGCTAACGGAGAATATCAAGCAAAAGTGTTTAAGTTTCTTTGAAGCTCTTATAAGACACTTTTCATTTTTGTAATTTTAGCTTTAAGCAATTTTGTATCTCTTTTCAATTTCTTACTCCAATGAGTTATTTTGGAGGAGAATGAAGATTGTTCTTCCTTGTAAAGGAACAAATCGTAGAAGAAAGACTAACTTTTTAATTCATGTGATCATTTAAGGTCAAATAATAATATTTAAGTTCTTTGAAGCTCTCACGAGACACGCTTTTCATTTTTGTGATTTTAGCTTTAAGAGATTTTTTATCTCTTTCCAATTTCATACTTTTGTAACATGTCCTATGAGTTATTTTATAGGAAAATAAAGATTGTTCTTCCTCGCATAAGAACAAACGGTAGAAGAAAGACTAACTTTTTAATTAATGCAATCATTTAAGACAAATTCTTTAGGTTTTGTCCCTAAAACTTTTATAATTTTTGTTAGATTTGAATTAAACCTAGACGCTTGGTTATTATACAATACATTAAGAAGTATTGTAACATCTAGCCTCAAAGAGAATATTATACATTGAAGGATGATATATTGGACAAGAGTGGGTTGTTCTAGTGGTGAGCACCCTCCACTTTCAGCCAAGAGGTTGTGAGTTCGAGTCACCCAAGAGCAAGGTGGGGAGTTCTTGGAGGGAGGGAGTCGAGAGTCTATCGGAAACAGCCTCTCTACCCCAGAGTAGGGGTAAGGTCTGCATACACACTACCCTCTCAAGACCCTACTAGTGGGATTATACTGGGTTGTTGTTGTTGTTGTTGTTGTTGTTGAAGGATAATATATTGAAAAAATTGTAGATTAAAGCTCAACAATAACAAATTCAGTAGAATCCCACGAGTAAGATTTGAGAAGAATAGTATGTATGTTGACCTTACGGTATCCTAGAAAGATAGAGAATTTGTTTCTAATAGACCCTCGGCTAAAAAAGAAAAGAAAAGTGTAACGACCCGACCGATCATTTTGCTTTTTAGATCCCTATCCCCCTAATTAAAACTCCTTGTATGTGCTTTCTAGATCCCTATCCCCCTAATTAAAACTCTTCGCCAACTACCTCGTTTGAATCTGCCAGCTACCAAAAAAAAAAAGGAAAAAAAAAGTTGCCCAAAAAAAGAATTGTGTGAATGCAATTTGATGAGGTGAATGTACGTAAGAATGTCGCTATAAGATTGCTTAAGAAATTTTTTTTAAGCAAGTGAGCAAATTTCGCATGAGTTTAAATACTTATTTTTTACATAACTAAAAAGGTTGCAGGGCGGGTGGATGTGGGTGTGGTGTGGGGCGGGGTGGACGCGGGTTAAAAGAGCTATGCGGGGAGGGGCGGATTGAAATTTTACGGGTTAAGAGAAAACCCGCACCGCCCCGCACCGTTTGCCATCCCTACAACCAGAGGCGGACCCAAGATTTGAGCACGGCGGGGGCACCATTGTATACTAATTACTAGCAATAAAATTTAGCGGGCAACTCATTGAAACTCAATGATTTTGATGACTTATCATCCAAGTATAAATAAAAAGAAGTTCTAAAGAAATAGACTCAATGATTATGATGACTTATCATCCAAGTATAAATAAAAAGAAGTTCTAAAGAAATAGACTCAATGATTATGATGACTTATCATCCAAGTATAAATAAAAAGAAGTTCTAAAGAAATAGAAAGCATCAAACAAAGAGAGAGATTTCTTCGCAAAATAGGTGCTACAGAAAGGAAAGGTATTTGATTTAAGACTATTTAAAACTTTAAAATTTCTAGCTTTTTCTCAATTAAAAAGAGGTCTATGATCAAAAGGGTATTCAGACTTCAAAAATTATCAAAAAACTTACTAAACAAATCGAGATTGAGGATGTGCTAATAGTTAAAGAACTGAAGAAAAGTCTCAAACTCTTAATTAGTAGTCATTGTCGAGTCAGAGTTGACGGATATCCGCCACTTTGTTAAAGTGATTGTTGAAAAAAGTTATGGCATAAAGATTTGTATTTTTTTACTTCTGAAACACGATAAATTACAATTTGAGACTTTTAATTTTAAGGGAGAGATTTGAAAAAGAATAAAATTAAGTAGATTATTATATATTAAAGCTAAAGTATAATTGAATTAAAAAAAAGATAAAAATAAAAAGTGAAGCAGTTTGCTATTAAGTACAAATTAGTTGAATTCAAAGAAGTAAAATAAAAAGGAGAGGAGAAAAAGATGAACCGCGCAAAAACTTGAGCGTCCACAAAGCCACTCCTCCGGTTAACCTCTTTGTGTCTAGGGGCACACAAAAAGTATTTAAGGGTCCCAGCTATATGCACAGATTCATACATAAGATATATATAAGATTTTTACTGAGTCTAACGGATTCCCGTGACCCCTCAACCTACAACGTATCTGACTACAACCATCCAAACAAGCTGTTAGAGTTGGGGGACGTCCGAATGTTGAAGGGTCTTTTGGTTTAAAGCGCTGATTGTTTAAACTATATAGATTTGAGAGAACCAATTTTCCAAGTATGGTTTTTGTTTTGTTTTTTGGTTATAAATTCTATGTTTTTGAGAAAAATTGAATTTCGTTTGAATGCACGCAATGTATATCGACCCACGTGCATGTTTAATTCTATTATAATTTTACAACAAATATAGCATATAAAGATATATGATTAACCATAAAAAATACCATTAGTTTCGGCCCCATGAATAATATTGTTGGTGAACAAAAATATCTCTATAATTAATTTGAATAGTTAATTTCGCGTTGGACAAAATTTTAATATTATAAACTTTGACTTTAATTGAAATTTCACCTAAGATTGAAGGATTGTGAAATGAAATGTTATCAAACAATCCAAATCTGCAATAAATGTTTTAGGAGTATTTGATTAAAGGATAGTGGACACACTATTGAATATTCAAAGAATTAAACATAATTTTTCGCGAAAAGTTTTTCTCTATTTTTTTACTTTTACAAAGATAATTAAATTACATAGAATTAATTGATTTAATAGTATGATCGATTATAGATTGATAGTTAAGAATAAGAAAAATTGAAATTACCAACGTTTGTCATCTTATTATATTGATTTTTCTTTTAAAGAGGTTTTAAAGAAATACAGCTAATTAAACAATCACATATCACGTGCTTCAACTCATCATCGATTTACTTCTATGTTTGATTTTTCAAAATTTAATGACAAAATATTTTGACGTATCTGTTTTTTTATGAAACTAACCAGTTTTTTCTAGAAAAATGACAATTGACTGATAGTAATTTAATACATTAAATATATTTTAAAATCTAAAATAATTTCAATGGTTATAAGTTTTCACATATATCTTTCGTAATATACACTTGTTATATTTACTCCTTAATCTTTTCAAATTAACTCTCAATATTCTTCTTTTACTTTAATGAGTTGACACATATTGTGCGGTTGCAAATATTTTCTAGAATATATATGCAATTAAAAGTTATATATTTTAGGTACACCTTTTATAAGATTGTCACGATCCAAAATTCCACCACAAGCGCTGTGATGACATTTAGTCTCTAAGACTAGGTAAGCCGATTTTAATTACAATTCAAGCCTTTTAAAAAAAAATAGATAATCGAAACTCACAGCGGAAATAATTATAACAACCTCCCAAGACGGGTAATACTGAGTCACGAACTCTAACTGAATACATAGAATTTTCTCAAGGATCGAATATACAATACTGTTCGAATAAGAGTTGACAGTAGAATAAAAATAGAAAGACTCCAAAGGACTGCGACGGCCAAGCAGCTCAACCTTAAATCCTTGCGATCACACTCTAACCTCTGTCCGAATCCGATATCTCCAATATCTGGCTCTTGTA